TGCAGGTAGATGATGCAGCAACTGCTGCTGAGGAAGTAATTATGGAACAAGACAAGAATTATCACATTTTCCCAAACAGGCTAAATATGACACTAAGGATATAAACCATGCAAATGGAAGACAGCATGGAAAACTGATCTTACTTCCTCAGGATGCTCATCCACCTCTAAGGTCTCATCTTCTTCATTGTTTTCTTCTGCTCCAGGTGAAGAAGACCCTTTGCTTTTCTTGGATTCTGGTTCATCATGATCTTTTACCTGCTCACAGGAAAGGAAAAAAAAAAACAAGAAACAGAAAAGGAGTACCTTAAACCTCAAGACCTATAGTGTTGTGGCTGCTGGCTCACACTTCATTCCCCTGGAGATACAACTGATTAGCATACACTGGTCCTACAGAATTCCTGTAGGTACCAAGCACTCCATGTGCCCCCATGGCTATCATCCACCCACAAGGCTGTCTTCCTCAGCTATAAGTCAGAAGGCAGGAAGATCTGACACACTGTGGAAATCTCATTCTGGAAGTGCTCACAGCTTCACTTGAAAGTGCAAAACACAGGAAACAGCAAAGCCCATCCTGTGAGCAACTTGTGGACCCCTCACATAGCAAAGACATTGCCTTGACTGTTTCCCAGAACATCTATCAGATATGAACATGTTCCAGTTCCTTCTCAGTTCAAAGACAAGCAGCTGGGCAGGGGGGCTGAGGGGTTACACAGGGATTACACAGGGAATGCCTTACCTCCTGGATGTACGTGAGATCCCAAACCCTCAGCTCACTGTCAGCGCTCCCAGTGATCAGACGCTTCTCTTTGGACAGCAAAGCCATCCCCCAGACCTGTCCAGAGGCACAATGTGAGGAACTGACTCCCTTAACTATCATTAAAAAAGCACAGCATTTTTAAATGATCTATTTAAACAGCAACCAAATAGAGAATGGACCCAGCTGGGACCTCCTCTGAGGACATGTGCATGGGTATTGTCACCCAATGCATGTGATGACAGCTCTTGGAATGTCTGGAAATTTCTCATTTGCTCAGTCCTAAATCTGATGAAAGTAAAATGTATGATGGTGCCAGCTTACAACTCCTGAAAGCAAGGAAAGCCTAGAGTGAGCCAATGCATTCCAAGTTCCTCCAGCCCAACATTGCCACACATCCTCTTTTTACCTCAGCTCGGTGTCCAACCAGAGTTTTGAAGCAGTGCTGGGTATCCAGGTCCCACCATTTCACTAGTGTGTCCTTGGCACTGGAACAAAGAAGAAAAACTCGGACATGAGAAAAGACTCCAGAGCTCAACATTTTTCTAAGTGGTAGAAATACAAAAAAATCTAAAACATGTCAGAATGTATCACAGAGCAGCTGCTCAAACATTGAATTTTGCAAGCCAAACATAAAAGGCACAGCCATGCTGCAAAAAGATATTTCTCAAGTCACTGAAGCTGACCTGCAAATATTTCAAATTGCATTAAGAAATGGGTATCATCTACCAAACCAAAAAAATACTACTTTTTCCATCTGAAAAAAGCAAAATTAGTTGCTTTACTTTTAAACTGAACTGACTGTATGCACTTTTCTATTAGCTAGTAAATGGCACGTTAAAAAGTAAAAAAATTAGTGATGGATATTTCAGCAAGAATATCTCTTGTTAACTATTTATTATTAAAGGGACTCAGACAACTTGCATTTCCTTTAGTTGAATACCCTAAAATCAGCTGAAAACCACCCTATCATCTTTTAATTAATTTGTGTAGTTACAGCTTACAAAAAAGCAATTTTTCTGTCACACTGCTGTGTCAATTGTATATACATAAGGTAAGTCCGCTTAATTCTTCAAGATAAGCAAAATAAACCCCAAAAACTGTTACATACATAATGAACATGTTATCACAATTCTTTGTTACAATAATTTCAAGTTGATGAATTTACCAACACATCAAACTCTTTTCCAGTAACTTTTTTTCAGTATTGCTCTATTACCAGACTTAAATACATGGACGTGACAAAATTATATTCAAAGATGCTGGTGGGTCTGAGATACCACAAGACAAGAAGGAAAATACAAATGGCTGTAGTACACAGGACGTCTAAATTGCAAGTACAACCATGCCTGCTTTCCTGACCAACTATTTCTCTTAGTCTAACTCACCAAGTGATCAACAAGTTTTTCTCCTTCAAGAAAAGGACTTGAGTGATGACATCCTTGTGTCCCCGCAGCCGGTACAGGCCACTCTCATTGATGACATCCCACACAATGACTTCTGTATCCTGGAACAGAAAGAGCATCTCCATGGCACTGGCCCTTGTCTCTGCAAAACTTCTGCCATGAGACTGAAAAGATTACCTGAGAGCACACTTTCTCACTCTGAATCACAAAGATTATTAACGCAAGTTATTAATGAATCTGAATCAAAAAATTATTAATGCAATGCTTCCCCAGAGGTGCAGTCAGACTGATAAATATACCATTGTCCCAGCCTGAGAAATTTTTTCTATGACAAGATTCTTCACTTTAACAGCTCTACCAGTGCCCTACTCCTGCCTGCAGCCCCTGCTGCTCCCCCAGCTCCTCTCACTGCCATCCTCTGGCTATGGGCAGAGGCCATACTTAAAATACTGAACATCCCAGTGTAGGTCAGCCTTCCCCATGGGGCATCTCTGTGAAAGGGTAATGCTCCAGATGTCAAAGCCTCACCTTTGAGCCAGATACCAGCCTGCCACCCAGGTGGTCGTACTGCAGAGCTGTCACTGCAGCCCTGTGCCCATTGAAAGTGATAGTTGATTCTCCACTTAGGAGGTTGAAGACACGGATTGCTCCATCTTCATACCCAACAGCCAGGTGCAACCCATCTGGAGAGGGGCAGAGGCAACTGACTTGCTGCTTGAGACCCTTAAGGATAAGAACCTGCAATTTTTAGGAGACAAAACACGTATAATGTTGATAAATGACATGTCAGAGTCAGATAGTTGCAGAGAATATAGTCTACTCTTCTCCTGAATTTCCAACTGAGCACTTCGGCCACTTAATAAGTTCATTTTTCAACGTCCTCCTCCAAATACAGTATCATAATAACCCCATTTTCCAAGGCAAACAGCAGCTAGAAGGGAAGCAGTTTCTCAGGAAATGGGTGCAGAGCGAGTCCTGGAACTCAGAACCTGCCCCCACATATTAAGAGCAAGAGAGTAAAAGCTGGAAAGTTTCTTCCTGACTCCAGCCTCTCTTGCCTGGCCTTTCTCAGGTATAGGACAGAGCAGCTCTTCCACAGACTGCACAAGAACTTGAGAATGATGAAAACATCTCCAGAACAACATACCAGCATTCAGCACTCCAGAGGCTGTGAAACAAAACCAGATTTCAGTCTGCAGTGGACAGTAGTACTTACACCGATTTCTGAATCTCACAGGAGACAGTATGTGGCAAAGTCCTCAAAGGTACAGTTCACAACCTCCCCATGGGATACAACTTTTACAAGGAATCCCAGTTCCACAGCCAAAACACAAATTCTATGACATCCCTGAATTGTCCAAGAACATTCAAACAACCAGCTAAACCGGAAGCAGCTTTCCAGTTACTGTGACAGCAATTACTCTTCCACAACTGAGGTCCTGATGTAAATCTCAAGGGATCCACAGTGAGATTTATTTTAAGACCAAGTCGAGATAAAATAAATTACTCTCACAGTAAGAGCAGAGCAGAGCTTCACTCCCTGTAACAATTGATGGCTACAAGTTACTACCAAAAAACAAAGGTGAGTGTTGCTGTATTTCAGGTCATTCAAATCATCCACAGCCTCCTCCGTTCTGTGTGTGCTGGTGATATCTGTTGGATCTCAACAAATGCAACCATTATAAATCCCTTAAACAGAAATAACCAATTACCTTCTAGAAACTAGCAAGACTTTCTTGTAAGCATCCAACACTGCAGTATACTTTGGACTACTCAAAAGGCAACACGATGCAGAATCCTTTTAGTCCAGTGACCAGAGAACTGGAAGACACCAGCACTTTGAGCGGGGAGGCAGCCAGAGCTGCACGCTCAGAGCATAACCTCACTCACGCTGCGCTCACTCTTCCCCAGAGGCGGGGATGCTGTGCACGTGTCGCTTCCCTCCACACGCCACCCGCGAACACGAATCGCTTCGCTTCAGGCGGCCTAGAAGCCCCTCACGCTGCACCCTGGCCCTGCCCCGCATCCCGGCTCCCACCTTCTCTCCTTTCCTTGTGTCCCACACGAACACGTGCTCGCAAGCCGGCACGGCCACGTAGCGGCCCCGCTCGCCGCGCAGCGCCACGAAGGCCACGCCGGCCCTGGCGCTGGCCACCAGCCCGAAGAGCGCGGCGGGCTCGTAGCGCAGGTACTGCCGCGTCAGGCCCATGGCGGCGCGGGAACGAAGGAGAAAGATGGAGCGGAGGAGCCGCGATGGCCACGGGCGCCGCGCTCGGGCCCGCCGCGCTGGAAGTGCGTCAGAGCGGGCCGGGCCGCAGTGCCGCCCGAGGCCCCGCCCGGGAAGGGAAGCGGAAGCGCGGCGGACGCGGAGCTGCCCTGGGTGATGTCGCCAGACCGGCGCCCACCGGGAGCCTCTGTCCGGGCGGGGCTGGCGGCGGCTCTGCGGCTGTGCCCGTGAGTGCGCTGCGGTGCGGGGGCACAGCCCGGCCTGCGCCGGGCGGGCGCGGCTGGAGCCGGGCGGGGCCGCTGGATGCCGGGCGGAGCGCGGCGCCGGAATCCCGGCTGCGAGCCGCGGGGCGGGAGGCGGGAGAGGCGGGTTCTCCTCCCGGCACGGGTACGGGCACGGTACTGGGGCCTCGGCCCCCGCTCGCAGCGCTCTGTGGCCCGTTCCGAGCCTGGCAGCCCCTTGGGCCGCCTCCGCCGCGGGAGGGCCCGGCAGCGATCCCGGGGAGAGCCCGGGGACTGCGCGCCCCGCCTCGCCTGCCCCTTGCTGCCGCGGCCAGAGCCCGGGTTTTGGCTGCTCAGCAGGAGGAAGGTGCTACTGTAGATGCTCCTGGCTGCGCTTACCTTCCCTTTCTCTCTCATTGCCTTTTCTCCCAGCGAAAATCTTACCTAGATGCTCTTACAGCTATCTTTGTCCTAGTGTCAACCTTTATTAGCCCTCAGTGTGAGCTTGGTTGTTTTGTTTTGTTGTGCTGTTTTCCCCGGGCTAGTGAGTGTATTTAGTAAGTCGCGTTTTCACAATTGCTCCTTGTGGGCGCGATCGTTTTTAAATTATTATCAATTATGAACCTGTAAAAGGAGTTAAGTAGTGGGTGTGTATGTGGCAAACTAAAATTACTTACGTGGGAATGTTTGCGCTAGTTTGATTCACTGGTTCAGTTCAGTAGTCACTATGGGAATGTAGGAGCCAAAGCGTTACCTGCTGGCAGCTGAAAAGTGAGTATTGGCAAGTTTGAGCCTTCATCTGGCCACCAGTGTCATCTCAAAAATCAGTCATGTGGCAGAGTTCAGTTTTAAAATTCACTGGGCCAGCGTTCAAATTTACAGCTTTACTCTTTCTTGCGAAACTGATTTGGGCGAAGGGGTTTTGTGCCTGAGTGTATGGCTGTAAGAGCTATGTGACACTAAGTCTTGTGTGCAGTAGTTCAGAATTCACTGAACTGCAAGGGCTGAATTATTCAGGGAGAGGGAAGAATTTTGTTGGTTTCTTTGTAAGGTTTGGGGTTTTGGGGAGTTAGAGGCATTGTGGTTTGGGAAGCTCTATATTTTTTCTATTTTATATAAGTATTTACCAGTATCTTTGAAAGAACAGATCATACATTCCCTGCTACAAATTTGCTTTTGTTTAGATAAAGAAGTAACACTCAGAAAGACTGAATTCCTCTCTGCACTTGGAAATTTGTTCTTGCTTTTTCCAAAGTGCAAGATCACAAGTCAGTTGGATCAACTTAGTAGAAAAGGTGTTTCCACCTTGAATTGTTGGAAGAGGTTTGTCTCACTGAGAGTATCTGCATGGCCTTATTGCATACAGGTAACAAGAGAGGGAGTGTTTGAGTAAGAAATCTGTTTTCCTGTTGTCTGCTAGCTGTTATTGCATTGCAGTCTTGTGAAAGGTCTCTATGGGACAATTACTATTAGTAAACAGCTGGTGACCTGGTTTGATTTTTTTTTTTTTCTTTAAAGCACCTGGAAGATTCCACTCCTGAAAATTGGAGTGTGACAAGTTAGCAGAGGAAGGGAGTTGCTGTTTCCATTCCATGGATCCCTTGGGTGCTCCTTCCCAGTTTGTGGATGTTGATAGTCTGCCAGGCTGGAGTGATGCCTATGAGGCCAAGCAGCTGGATTGTCACCAAAGTCCTGTTGAAAAAGCTCAAGTTCATGTTAGATCACCTTTTCCATACAGGAAAGACATCAATGAAAAAATAATCTTGTGGTAAGTTTGATGTGGTTCTCATGTGTCAATCATCACTTCTCCATTTACTGCAGGATCCATATCTTCATGTAATGATCACTGCTGTAGAATAAAACTTCTAAGTCCTCTTTCTGTGAATCAAACATTTCAGAACTGGGAATTAAATAATCTTTTTGTTCACTGTACCTTCGAAAGTCTGGGATTTTGCTCCACCATAGATTGTGCTCATAGGCAGTCCTTGGTGCAGCAGACTGGAGCTGTACTTCCTACTGTGATACTATATGCTTAGTATCAAAACCTAGTTGGTTTTGGATATGAGGCTTTTATTTTTAAAAAATATGTTTGCTGTCAATTAGCTTTATTCTGTATTTGCTGGTGTTATTTTGCTTTCACGTTTCTGTTTTAAATCAGTATTTCTTTCTTTTCTGTGATTTTTGTGGCTTGCTTCTGGTTCTTCCTGCCCCTCCTTCCTCTATTCTGTGTTTTGTCTCCATGGCTTTCTTCCAAAATTTATCGATAAAGTATAGTGTGCTGTACTTACTCCACCAGTGTTTCTTTCCTGTAACTCAGATACTTGAGCCTGCTCTTTAGATGAATAACTCTTAACTTAATCAGTGTGAAGGGAGAAGGATTTCTCAGGGATGCAGATTCAGGGATCAGACTGAATCTCTTTCTGGTTAATATATGCAGGAAATGGGACTGTTCATGGATTTCCTGAACTCAATTAAGTAAAGAAAGAGAGGAGTAAAACAAAGAGTAAAAAAAGAGAAGAGTAAAACAAAAAGTAAAGAAAGAAAGGAGTAAAACAAAGAGTAAAGAAAGAGAGGAGTAAAAGGTTAAACATCTCTTATGGCTTGGGCAAATTTGTGCAATTTCAGCTGTTAGTTTAGCTTCTCCCTGTGCATGGGAATCTTTATTTCCCTTCCTATGCTCTTTGATCCCAAAATCCCTGATGGCTGCTGCTGTGACAAAAAGCAGGTCAAAGTTCTGCATCTCCATTGTCTCTTATGCATCTGTGGCTTGTTTATCTTCTGCATGTCTGATCTTTGGAGAGCAGAATGAACATGATCAACCTGAGAGTTCACAATTTGGGAGCAAAAGAGAAGAAAACTTGTCCAGCTGTAGCATCACTTTAGACCCACAGTGGTCTGAGGAACAGCAGCTGTAAGGTGCCCTGGATAGTCTGTCTGCAAAAAATAAAGAAGTACATTGAGAAAATTGTTTAAGTTTTGAAAGTAATATAACACAAAGACTGTCCTCTTATCCCCAAGGGAAAATATGTGGGTTTTTGGAAGTGTTACACTCCATCAGTTTAACAAGCTGCTTTGCATGTTTGCTGCCTGAGCTGCCCTACATACAACTACAACACTGCCTTTTCTACAAACATCCCTAAGTTACTGCTGAGGCTGGGACTCTTTCAGGAGCTGACATTTTGCTTGCAGTCTGTCTTCAGCAGGGAGAGGGGAAGGATGATTAGGTTTGGTGAGCGTGTCAGGGTGCACTAGACTGTGTGTGCACTGAAGTCCTGTTAATGATTTTCCTGTAACTCAGCATTTCCTTGCTTGTCAGCACTGATTTGAGAATATCCTGCTCAGTTGTACATTCAGGCTGCACTAAACTGTTTCCTCAGGAAAGGAGATGTGGCATTACTGAACTGCACGGCCATCGTGAACACCAGCAATGAGACTCTCACGGATAAGAATCCAGTATCTGAAAGTATATTCATGCATGCTGGGCCTGACCTGAAGGATGAGCTCCAGAAGCTCAAAGGTAAGTGGCCAGAGACATCTTTTTCTTATTGAAATCTCCTGCCCTTGCATAGTACAAAGCATCAGGATAAGGGTGTATGAAAAAAACAGAGCTTCTCCCAGCCGCCAGCAGCTGGTATTAACATGAAAAAAATGGGGGAAACACCTGCCAGCCTAGTCTCTTTTTGCTATTCACATTACAGATAATTGAAAGTCTGTGGCAGATACTTGAACCCTTACTTTTTGATGCAGTAATTCCCATTGCTATCTGAAGCCTCTTTGAGCAGTTAGCTTATCAGTGCTTTTGCTCAAGGGACCAGTCTTGTACATCCTGAGATTTTATCCTGTTCGGTGTGTATGCATTATGAAAGACAGAAACTGAAGTTCACCATTGAAGAAATGAAGTGGATTCTGTCATGCACTTTGTGTATCCTCTTTCAGGATGTTAATATACACACAGTCTTTCAGAAAGATATTATAATAATAGATGGATTGATAAAACACTGCATGCCTAAATAAAGTCTTTGTGACTTTTTAAGTTGATCGGTTCATTTGTCTCTTGTGTACAACAAATGGTTTTATTGGAAAGCTACAAGAGCAGCCCTAATACAAGGCTATTCTAGAAATGGATGAGGTTTGCCTAGAGTCTTTATTAACAGAGTTTATTGCTGATAATGGGAGATGAATACTCAGCCTTTTTTTTCATCTAACAGGCACTGCGAATAAGAGTTTCCTTATTTTGTGTGTGTCCAACAAGAGTTTATAGTTATCCAAGGTCATACAGAAGTCTAATATGGTTTACAGATAAAAATTCACATCTCTGGGAACTATGGTACTGAACTGAATTTTGAGGTCTCTGTGTGGTACTGCTTACTCTGGATAGCAGCTTTGTCTCCTTTCATAGTAACAAAATGGGTATAGAAGAGCCATATTTCTAATATAAACTCTCAGTAGCTTAAATTACAATTGAATAGAAATCCTGCTCCTATAAAATCATCCTTTGCTGATTCAGCTTGCTTTTTTTGAGTAACCTATAAATTAAACAGGAGGAAGAGTAACCATTTTATAACGGAGTGAAAATTCAGTGTGTGCTGTGGGTGGAAATTAAAATACTGTAGGTGTTCTAGAATAGTTAGGACCCTGCTTTATATGCCAGAACTCTTCTAAAACACACTTACTGTGTGGACTGAGAGGTGGGAAGAGAGGGACTGCATTTCAGAGAGTCTTAAAGTCTGAGATCTGTCAACTCTGTAGGGAGTTGTTGTGCTCAACTTCTTAAATTCCCTTTTGCCCTGCTGAGTTATGTGTAGTTTTGCATCTTCTGCCACAGTGAAAACACTATGTCGTCTCCCTGTAATGCATTCTGCAGGTTTACAACTCCCTATGAAGCACTTCTCTTTTAATCTTGTGCCAAGAGCTTTATGGAAATCAGTTCTTCTGTGACACCCTACTGACATGTTGTGTGGGGGAGGAAAGAGAGGCTGGGTTACAGATTTGGCATTTGAGCACCCATAGTATATTTGCCACAGTATGAGAAGTGGATGGAGAGCTGAGTTAAAAATCAGTTTAGGATTCATTTGTCACCTCTGCTTCCTTTTTGCGCTATTTCCCACTCAGCCTTGACATTTCTTCATTGGAGAATGTGCTGAAAAGGTGAAAACGCGTGGTCTATGTTCCAATGCAGTAAATTGCATTTTCAGTTAGGTCTCTCCTGCTTTATTCCTGATGCTTGGTACACATTCACATTTCATAGATTCTAAGAAAAATCATTATCTGAAAGCATGTGACATGCTGGCTCTTCAAAGGCCTGTGCCTTCTTTAAGGCTCAGCTAACTTGTATGTTCCTGGGAGCAGCATCAGTTTTGATTCACGCATAAATACTACAGCCAGGGGCAGGCTTGCAGACGAAGTGCTATTGATAGAAGTTTTCTTATCAACAAATACATGTTGCAGTATAATAAAGGCCTTACAGCTTAGTAAAAATAAAGAAGTCTTACAGCTCTGGTGATGCTTTTTCTGTGCCACACACATCATGTAGATGATTCAGAGTTTCCATTTTAAACTTGGAGAAAGCTATTCTAATAGCTGAAATCTTATCAGATAAAAAATAGGATCTTGACTTTTGTTCCCAGTTTTGCCACAGACCTTGACTTGTGCAGCTCCCCTCACCTTGTGTCTTAAAATAAGAGTAATACCTACTGCTCATTTTAGTTTTAAAAGTTGTATAGACATCTCCAGGCAGAATGCCTTGGGAAGTATGATCTGAGTATAGTTAAAGATTACCAATGCTACATTTGCTTCCCTGAATTTATTTGTTTCCTTATTGAATTCACAACTATACCGCAATCAAATTTGCTTCATTCTTCTTCTCACAAGTTTTTCCTACAGGCCTTTGCTTGTTCCTCACTGGTTGTGAGGTGCAGGGACCGCAGAGGAAGAAAAGTGACTTGATATCTGATACATTGTTTTCAGTTTGGCTTTCCTTTTTCTGTATCATGCTTATTTAATCACTCTCTTGAGTTGTCTTAGAGGCTGTGCAGGAATTCAGAAGAGCATGCTTAGTTTCAGTGTGGTGTTTTCTTCCTTCTCATTAACCTAGAAGAAGCATGGTAGAGGTCTGTAGGAGCTAATGATGTGATTTGTTGGATCAAAAACGTTACAAGATGCTGGCTTCAAGGCAGTGTGCGGTTGCCATTAAAAAGATATGCTTGAAGTTTTGGGTCAGGAAGATTCTCAACTTGGAGTGTCTCTCCCCATAAAATACGCTTTCATGCATGCTGCTAGCTTGCCTGAGCACTGTGAGGAAAGAGTGGAGTGGGAGAGGTGAACATCCCTGTTCAGTGGGCAGATTAAGCCAAGCTGCTGCAGCACTGTTGCCTGAACACTGGCTGCAGCTGCTTCTTCCTCATTCCCTATTGTGGTCACCAGCAACCTATAAGATGATCAGGTTGAAATCTAATCCAATGAAAATACTGGTTTTCAGTCAGATCAGAAAGCTGAAGTGCAGCAGTACAAGCAGAAGGAGGAAGTTTGGAAAATACTTGTCTTTGAGGGTAGGGAAAGAGAGAGACTAGAAGTACTTCTTCAGCTGTCCAGACCTGGAGTGGACTAGATTTAGGTGAAGAAGGGGAAGTTTAGCAGACTTTTCTTCTGTGTGCTGAAGGAAAACCAGACTTCAAACACAGAATCTAGAATTCCTAGAGTGTGTAACTGGAGGGTGCTGTGACTGGAACCATTAAAAGTGTTGCTGAACTTCCTTTCCTTGAGACTGGACAGTTAATCTGTCCAGAGAGTGTGAGCTGCATGAGGATCATATGTCTGCCTTGCGGACATGAAGAAGTTTGCAAAACAAAGCAAGCTACTTCATTCTGGGAGCATAAATTAAACAAGTGTATTATCTATTCAGTTTTAATAGCTTTGCCAACTGCTGGTTTGTTTGATTAAGGAGACTTGTAGTCATTTTATTCAAAAATTGGTCTCCCCAAACCAAGTTGTAAATTCAGAAAGACTTTTCTTTTTATTGCTAGATGTATGGTATACTTGTGCATCTATTCTCTGCACATTATTAAATAATTTCTTTCTTTGCTCTGTAAGTAGTGTGGGGAGCACTGCAATTAAGACAGAATTTCTAGCAATGCCTAGTTAGTCTTTATATGTATAGATTTAAAACTGAGAGGAACAAGCACAGTTCTCACCTCCTCAGCCTGACTAGGTGCTAAGCAGCTGGCAGGAGATCGGATGCTGCCCTTAATATTTCATGTTTGAAACACTATGTATGAAGTGGAGTTGTCTGACTGGAGGTAAACAAGGGCTTGAACACTTCTGCCTTTCTTACCATGACATGTACACTTACCCTGATGTTTAATTAATGGCAGGCTGCAGGACAGGCGAGGCCAAGCTGACGAAAGGATTTAACCTGGCTGCGCGTTTCATCATTCACACGGTGGGGCCCAAGTACAAGAGCCGGTACCGCACGGCAGCCGAGAGCTCCCTGTACAGCTGCTACCGCAACGTCCTGCAGCTCGCCAAGTAAGCACTGCACAGCTCTCATGGGGCTGCCATCTGGGGCACAGCTGTCCTGGAAACCCAGCTCTGCACAAAGATCTCACCTCTGAGAATGTCTTCTCGTGTAGGCTGGGTCTGGTTAAGGACGTGAAAACAGCGGTGGCTTCATGGTGTGCTTCATGCCTTAGGTTATCTCTGCTGTGGTGTAGATAAAATGCACAGAGATCTGAGCTGGTTCGAGTCATGAAACGGGGTAGCTAGAGCTGTGCAGCATTCAGTTCTTCAAAGGAGAAACATTAATAATTGCTTTGGGTTCTGTGCTGCAACAAGTGTTAAATGAGCTTGCTCCAGCAGCAACTGCATGTGTGTCTGCAGCTGTGGGGATGCACCCACAGGCAGATCTGACTGTGTCAGTTCGTGTGTTTGGCTTCTCTGCCCTTGTACGACAGCTGAAATTCTAAGTCAGGCTATAAGGTTACTTCTAAATCTCCAGTTGCAGCAGCTAGGTTTCTTTAAAAACCTACCCTTTCTTCTGTGGTATTTTCTACTTCCTCTTAACAGGGGTTTTCTTCCTATTTTTCTGTGTTCTGGTCTTCTCCTGTGACAGCTGTTGTAGTGGTAGCAGATACAAAATACACCTGAGAAGAGCAATGCTAGAAAGCATACTTTACAATTTTTTAGAGTTTGGAAGATCAATTCCTCCAAGGTTGGACTTTGTGTTACAGTGCAATTGTAACTGCTTCAAGCTCAAGATTACAGCTATGGTTTTTAACATGTGCCAGTTTTGGTCTAGCTCAGCAGTTACAAGAAAATTCAGGCCTGGATTGAAACTTTTTTCAAATTGTTATACTTCTTCATACTGAATGTTTCTCAGTCGATTTGTTTTCTAGAGTAACTTTTGATGTTTATGAAATTGTCTACAATCTCTGAGCTTGCTCAAATTCCTTTGATTACTGTTGGCAGCAGCTCTGCTTTACTCTTTTGAAAATGTGGCTCAGTGCTGAAAGCATCTTTCTGATCTTAAAGTACGTGTCTCTCCATTCTGATGGTTGTCTAATCATACCTAAGATGGAGTAAGCCACCTTGGCCTGTGTCCAGACCTCTAACAAAACAAAATCATTGGTCAGATGAAGAAACAGGAGTGTGTATGCATTTGAAGAGCACCTTCTTTTTCCCTCCTTCTCCTTACTGTCAGTTCTAAACAGGAACAAAAGTATTTTGAGCAAGGATTGCAGGATGTTTGAGAGAAGAACTTCATTCAGGATATGAAGAGCTGTAGGAGCAGCAGAGTTGAGGTAGAAGGAAAAATCTGAAAACAAGCACCAGATGAACCAGTGAGGAATAATTAATGGTTCTCTCCTTCTCTACTTAATGAGGGTGTGTGCATCTTGCCAGGGAAGAATCCTCCTGCAAAAACCTGAAAGAGAATTACTGCTGCAGTAATCAGTCAGGGAAGAAATTAATAGTGCTCCCTACTGCCCTGACAGACTTCTGTTTGCACCTGACTGTCTATTCATATGTTTCTCTTTCTTTGGATTCCAGGGAACAGGCAATGTGCTCTGTAGGATTTTGTGTCATTAACACTCTGAAAAGATGCTACCCCTTGGAGGATGCAACCCACATAGCACTGCGTAAGTGTGTTGGAAAACAGCATAAACTGGATGGCAGCAGGTCACTTACCTCTGACAGATTTCTCTTGAAATGGGGAGACCTTTTTTAGGGGTCTGTGGTTCATTAGAGCCTGTAAAAATTCTGTAGTTGATCAGAAGATGGAAGATAAAAACAAATTATCCTTTCTCTCAGTAAAGATTCCTGGGATCTCATCAGTAAAAATCCATGAGAATCTGTTCTAGAAGTTGCGTTTTTCAGTGTATTAATTTATAATGTGGAAAAGATGCTACAAGTTAGGTGAGAGAGTTTGCTGGTAATAAAAGCTTGTTCAGAAGAGCCAAGATGAGGCCTTACTGTTGAATACTTGTAGGCAGACTCAAGCAACAGTGAATCTCATCTGCTGTTTTAGTGTCATCAGCACATCCAAATGTAAAGTGATATCCTTCCCCCGCTGACCCACTCCTACAGGCTTCTGCCTTCACATGCAAAATGATGGGCTGATTATAGGCAGCAAAACATTGAGATGATAATACTTCAATGAAAACAACAACTCAAGGAGCTCAAAACAGCAAGCTGAGTAAGACACAACAAAATTAAGAATGTTTTGCAATCAATCAGTGCTTTGTTCACCCTTTAAAACTGTACATTAGAAAAGAATGTAGTAGACAGAGAAGTTGAGGAGGTCAACAAGAGCAGAAAAAGGCAAGAAATAGTGAAATGAGCTCAAGACTTTTTCAGACTGGAATATACCTTACTTGAAGAGAGTGTGATAGATGTCTGTAAACTCATGAGTGGCATGGGAATGGTGAAATCAGCTGTTCACTGTCTCCCATAATAAGAACCATCAAATCATGCCAGTTCAGAACAAACAAGGGGAAATGGTTCTTATGCTTATAATTTGTTTTATGGAAATTCTTACTAAGAAGCATGGCTAAAACTTTTCAGATTTCCTTGTTCTTGAGAGGAAATTATATTAAAGAAAAAATGAAGATCACTGAAAACAAGTCAGAAACATCCTAGGCTGAAAATAAAGTATAAAAAAATGCTCAAACAATAATATTATGTCCTCTTATATATACTAGTTCCTACTTTCCCCCATCTTTTTTGGCTTTTTCACATGTTTACGTGAATTCAGAACTGTTTGCTGGGAAACTGCAGAACTGCATTTGTTGTGTAATGTCTCAGGTCAAGACGATTACACAGGAATTTGTGTACAGTAGTACACAGGAAATATTTGAAGATGGCTCCTTTTTTCCCCTCTGCTGTTTCTTGAATTCACAAAAGAGTATTCTCTGTAAATAATTTCTTTTATTGCTGTCTTCTGTTGTCTCTGTAGGTCTGTATGATACTTGATAAAATACTCCCATACCAACAAATTTGTTTGGACACTTTCTCTCATGATTTATAAATAGAAATTTTATATATTTTTTGGCACAGCTGACCCCATAAATTTTGTGTTGCTGAGCCTGCCTTGAACCAGCTTCTGCTGTAGCTTGCTTATATTTTTTTGCTGATAACTTAGGGCACGGTATCTTGTTCTCAGAATGTCTGGTTTTAGCAATTTGCACAGGAATCTCCAGAGGAAGGATTTGGCTTGATATTTCAGGACCATTGAATCACATTTCACAATCTAAGGGATGCCTAGTAAGCTAAAATCAGAGATTAGTTCTCCATGTGTATCTCTCTAAAGCCAGCAGCAGGAGAGAGTGGAAATGGAACTTCCAATATGCCCAGCAACCCATTTGGTGTGTTAAAACCACCACTTAATCCACACTTGCCTACCGTCTATGCAGCTATTTAGTATGAGGAGAGATGTATCTCTTCTGCACTCTGAGTTTTTCACTTGTAGCTATGTGTGGAGAATTCTCCTGTTTTGCTAACTGCATTTAATCTGCTTCCTTGCAGGCACAGTTAGGAGGTTTCTGGAGGTTCATGGAGAGACTCTGGAGAAAGTGGTGTTTGCTGTCTCTGAGCTTGAAGAGGTATTTTGGCATTAATTCCACCAAAATTCCTGGGTATGATTGATCTCCTCAGCAGCAGTAAAGCTGGATTTGGATTTCCCCTTCAGATAACACAGACTTTTGGTCTTGCAGCATCCTTCTGCCTCCTTCTTAGGATAGCCTCTTTTCCAGAACTGTTCATGTTCTTAGCAGAACATGAAAAAGTGTCCAGTTCTATGGACATCTGAGAATATTTTTACTTCTGGCTTCTGTGTTGCTGAGCTGTGGACAGGGAGCAGTAGGGCAGGTGATAGCATGCAGTTGTGCTGGGTGTTATCTGTTAGCCAGAAAGGAAATTCCTCACACAAAATTTCCTCCTTACACAAAGATGTCCTTGAAGAGGGCCAGTTCAGCATCCCTACAGATCACCTTCAAAGATCTGAAACACGGCTTGCTGGCTTGTTGGAATAGCAAACATGACATTTAATGATCTGTGTTCTGAGAGATGCAGGCAATTTGAATATTGACTTTCCTTGTACATCAGATGTGTTCCTGTGCAGAATACCAACACTGTGTTCAGGTTCTATGGCATATGGATAAGGAAAATAACTAATTTGTTGGGGGTCATAAAACTGCTAATCATTCGGAGAGAACCGGAGAGAACTCATGAAGTAATACATTCTGTAGAGATTTTCACCATTTTCCTTTGTGTGGGGAGGGATTTTCTTGTTTGGTTGGTGCTTTTTCTTTTTTTTCAGGCATAGGTGATCTGTGTAGTGGTACATTTTAACATAAGCAACATCTGCTCAAATCTGTTGTCAGTGCATATTTTAACTTGATTACAAAGCTAAAGTATCTGCAATCTACCTGAGTTCATGCAGGTTTTAGAAAAGTCCTGTCAAATTCATTTGTCAGTGTGGCAAAAAAACCCAAAAAGTTAACCTTTATCAAGGCTACTTGATAAAGTATTCCCAGCTCCCAACCCAAAGTAACCATTGAGGTAGGCAATGCCTCCAAACTGCTGACAAATTCCCTGCTACAAGGCAGATGCTGTTTAAGCAAAGAGCACGGATGTGTGATAGACCCTTCATGCATTTTTTTTATTTGTAGGCCACTTACCAGAAGTTGCTGCCTCTGTACTTTCCGAGGTCGTTGGAAGAAGAGGCCCAATCCCTGCCTTACCTCCCTGCAGATATTGGCAATGCAGAAGGGGAGCCGGTGGTACCGGAGCGGCAGATCAGGATTACTGAAAAGCCAGGCATTCCAGATGGTGAGTTTGGAACTGGACTTTGGAATAAGTATCTTTGTGAAAGTCAGTGGGAAAAACAGAAAAGGAAGGAGAGAAATGTTTTCCTACCTCAATTCGCCTAAGTCAGGTTACAATGATTCCAGTTCTCAAGCTGCCTCGTTGGCTTCTTGTGTTCCCCAGCAGTAACTGGAGTAGAGCTGTTCTGTCTTTTCCTTTCTTGGTGGAAGAGGGAGGTAGTTTGTTCCCTTTGTAATTTTTTTTTTTTTTTCCAAAGTGATTATGAACTTTGTAGGTGTTCTTGCAGAATCTTGTGCAGCCCCTTATTGAAAAAGGTACTATGGTTAATGGTCTGTCCTGGATTGTATTGATACAGCTGGGATACAGTGCATCCAGCTAGTAAATGGGCGATGAAAACTAGCAGAAACTCCCTGAAAGATATAAAATAACTTGAGGAAACCAGAGATCAGTGTTTGGAGGTGTCTATCAAAGTTCAGTGGAAGTGTGTTTGTGAAAAGATTGCCTAGATGTCAAGGTGGAGGTGAGATACATGTAGCAAAACAATTTAATATATTAACTAACAGAGTAGACACATTCTGCCTTACTTGTTTAAGCAGTGATGTGCAAGTTTTACAGCCTTAAACCATCCAAAGCAAATAACTAGGAATTAAGTTCAGTTTTCTGCTTTTGCATAGCCAGTTGGGATAAGGCTGAATATTTGATATTTGCTGCTATGGCTGATCAGTGTGAGGTATTCAACCACTAGCTAGTAATTTGTGAAATTACTAGATTTGTATAGGTAAGAGTGAATTTATATAGTGGAATCCTGCACTCTTGTTCCATTGCTACTGTAGCATGTCATGCTAAAAGGGGAAACTCAATTCCTGTTCAGATTTCCCAGAGAGGCAGTGCTAGAAGTCTTATCAACATGCCTGGGTGACATCAATTCAGTGGAACATTCTGGTATTGTCACCAGGAATTGAGCCTGTGCTCTTCTATTTCATCACCCAGTTGTATTGTAAGCAACATTATAAAAATAGATGCACTCAGATCACTACAGCATTTGTTCAGGAAGTGTCAGCGATACAAGAAATGATCCCTTTCTACAGTACAGCTTCTAAATTGAATAAAGCTGCAGCATCTGTGCCTCTGCATGTTAATTTTTCCCCTTTTGACAAGTAGGATGACTGTAAAGCTGAACACACTCTCTCCAGAACTTGTTTTTTGGGAGAGTAAACCCTTTGTCATGCACTGATGACTAGGACTTCCCAGTTAGTTTCCGGGCAAACCAACACTTTGAGAGAATGGTTCTCAATCACGTGCTGTGATCTGCCAGTGGTACTGGTGAGGTGCCAGAGCCACATCACAGCGCCTCGGGGCTTTTGTGTTAGTCTGTAGCACAGTGGCTGTGTTCTTTCACTGGGACATGTACCAGTTCATCAGCAGCATTGCTGTTCCGTACACAGCCCAAACATTTTATACCATCTTTGTTTCCACTGCAGATGCTTCAGATGAAGAAGGTCTGGAGGCAGATTTGGCTTTCATTGGGTCCCATGCTTTTGCCCGCATGGAGGGAGATGTTGATAAACAGCGGCGCCTCATCCTTCAGGGACAGTTGTCAGAGGCAGCACTGCAGAAACAACACCAGAGGAAGTGAGAATTTGCTTGTTCATGTGAATATTTGTGTTAGTTAGGACCAACCCTTATGAATGATGGTTTTGTTATCTGCAAAGCCTCATCTTCCAGCAAACAAATACAGGTAAAGCCTGGTGCCACCTTGGATTTGATGTAGTAGCCTCTTTGGCCTGAAGGGAGAAGGGACGAGACAGTAGGAGAGAAAGGGAAGCTTGTGATGAACCCTTTAGCACACTCAATGCATCCAGCCAGCTGCCTTACCTGTTTGCCACAAGATGTCAGTGTTTTGTCACCATTTTTAGTTGTGGGATCCCCTGCTTTTGATACTGCCCGCTTGTTCCTGAGGCTCAGCACAGATGGCAGAACACTTTTCTTCCATTTGATAGATAAAAGAAGGCTCAGACTTTCTCCCCCTCCCTGCCCTGGTAACCCTAATGTGCATGATCACTTCTTTAGACAGTAATTCCGTGTTGGACATCTCTCAAGGCTAGGTGTTGGCTTTTTTTTGTCAGATGAGGCACTAAGTTGTTCATTAAACTGGTTGCTGCATAGTTGTGTTCAACATCTAGGCTTTTAAAGGAAATTTTTTTTTTTTTCTGTCTTTTAAACATTGAATATTTAAATGTCAGTGACCTCTGAGATCTTTTCAGCCCAAATGTAATGCCACTACAGTTACTAGTTGATATTTTTTAATACGTATTAATTGCCCGAGTGAAAGTCATTAGATGTGTAAATAAGACACTAAATTTTATTTTTTAAGACTTCTTTCTTGTAAAACCTGGTAGTTGCTCCATAGGTCAGAAAACAGCAACATCAGAGAGGGCTCAGTCAGAAAATCTTCTTTTGTCCTTCCTTTCCCATATACCTCTTCAGGCTTATACTGCTAATCCAAAGGGGGATTAGATCTGACCAGATGTTTTTGACTTTCTAGTTATAATCGCTGGCTGTGTCAGGCAAGAGCTGAAGACCTCTCTGACATTGCTTCTCTTAAAGCTTTATACCAGACAGGTATGTATGGGGTACTGATGACTGATCTGTGTTGTCTTAAATTAAAAATATTTTCTTAGGACTTGCATATACAATAGGTCATGCTGAAAGCATAGCTGTGTTTCTGGAGAGAATCTGTTCAGCACTTTGGCTGATCTCTTAGGCCTCATGAAAATCCAGAGCTTACATCTATCTCTGTGTAAATACCAAGGTTGTGTGATACCTTCTGCTCAGTAGCTGCAAATTTCAATTTTTTTATTTGCTCTGTGGGCTGCAGGAGTTCCATGAGGCATACTTTGGGAATCTGTGCATTGGAGTTCAGAGCCCAGTTTCTAGGAAGCATTTTACTTTGGTGGTAAAATTGCAAGTGAAGAGGCTTTTTAAAACAAAAACCATGTTATTATTTGATATTTAGATAAATGTGGGGTACACAGGCAACATAAAATTGCAGTCCTTAAGTTTCTCAGGTACATGGGTTTTTGATCAGAATAGGTACTGGTACAGTGAGAGCAGTAACTAAGCTTATTTCCTCTGTTGGAAACCATATGCATTGCAAAAGTTCTGAGCTGAAGCTCTTTCTTCCTGGTTTGAAAGGGCTCAGCTACAAAATGTGGCATAGCTGAGAGAAGTTGAGGCATCTTCCTTTCTTTTGTAGGTGTAGATAACTGTGGCCGCACTGTGATGGTGGTAGTTGGAAGGAATATCCCAGTAACCTTGATAGACATGGAAAAGGTAAGGCTCTGTAAAACTAGAGTTATGTAGGTTACATATGAATATTTTGGATGATCTGATTATAAGGATAATTCAGTTTTAATACTAGAAACATCATTTGTAGGACTTAATATGTTAACTAGAAAGTATTTTTGTAGGCAGATGAAAAAGTATACCCTTACAGAGCTATGTGTGCATTGGGCTGACACTTTTCAATGAAGCTATTTTTAGAAAAATCAGGGCTAGTATGGACTCCTTTTTCTTCTCAAGTAGGAGAGTTACCATGCTTCTGCAATTGCCAAGATGTGAAGAGTGAAACATAATGAGTTAAATGTAGTTTTTCAGGGAAATAGTAAGAATGTATCTCCATCTGTGAAGTCAGATAGATAAAAGACTTCCAAGTTATTACAGTCAGGTTGAAGACTTGGAATGTTGGCCCTGCTTTTGTAGCTGAAATGTAATGCCATCCAGCCTCATTATTCCTGATTTTTAGATGAAATAGGAGAAGTATATTAAGATGTAATGCAACTGCGAAAGAGTTCTTTGCAAATATGAATTTTCTTTCTTTCTGCCTCAGGCTCTCCTGTATTTCATCCATGTCATGGATCATATTGCAGTGAAGGAATATGTCCTGGTGTACTTCCATACACTCACAAATGATTACAATCAACTAGACTCTAACTTCCTGAAGAAACTCTATGATGTTGTTGATGCCAAGTGAGTGTCAATAGGAAAAGAACATGTTCCGGTCTTTCTCTGTGCTATGCAAATATTTGTTGTTCCCTGTATCTGGTTTCCCATTTATTTTTGAGAGAGTTTGGCTGGGACAAAGACCTAAATAACTAACAAAGGCAAGAAGAAGGAAGAGATATTTTCTTTCCTTCTCAAGTCCATCTTTTTAACCAGAAGTACTGTCCTCTGCAGTCTCTCTCTCGACCTGTAAGGGAGGCACTCAGGTTGTCTTGTCTGTCACAATCCAGAGCTGGAGCTTTTGGAGCTCGGCTTTGTTAAAGTGTGTTGTTGGTTGTGAGAGGAGAGGTTTGGGTAACAGTAGTAGTCATAATTTGTCCTTAACTTTCTTTCACTTCCAGCTTGGAAGACTGAAGGCTGTAATGTCTTTAATTTAAAAATAACCATTCTGCACTTTTAAAATTTTTTTTCTTTTCCCTCTACATTTGCTTTTTGGTGTCTGCACTTACATTAGATCTAACTTTATAAAACTACATCACAGGCACTTAAGAAAAATGGTGTCTTTTGACAGTTGGCTTGTGTGGGTGACCTTAGCTAGAATTCACTTTTAAATATTTTTTTTTCTTTCTCTAAACCAGGTACAAGAGGAACTTGAAGGCATTGTATTTTGTCCACCCAACATTTCGTTCAAAGGTAAGGTAAATCTTCCAAAAGAAAAGTGTATCTTGCATGTTGGTGGAGTAGCACATAAGCCTGTAGCACAAAGAACATGGAGAGGTACAGAAGATCCCCAAAATTAGGCAGTATCTTCTGGATCCACTGTCAGAACTTGAAATTCATCCCATCTTTGATCTAGCTGCAGTCTTCCAACCTTTGTGATAAGCCGAACTCCAATGCCATGCACACTGTCTGTGCCCAGGTTTTTGTGTGGTCTTACCAGAGAGAGTTGGAAGCTTTGAATCATGTTTCTTTCAAAGGGAAACGTCTTGTCATTTTTCCTGCTGGCAGGGTCATGAACCATGACCAAACATTCAGGGAATTCTTTTTTGTGTAGATCATCTCCTGGATGTTTCACCTTTTCTTTCACCACAAGAGATATCACATGTGTCCTGTGTTTCACTTCAGAGCTGCCCTGGCAAGGGCAGAGAGCAGTCTCAGGCAGCAGTGAAATTAGTCAGGATTAGAGTGGAAAGCAGCAAAGAAAGATGGGCAGAATGCCTTTGATGGAGTGCAGAAAAAATACTGTTAATCCATCAGGAGACAAAAAACCTGAACTTGTCATGCACTAAGTTATTACCCTTGGCTGGGATCTGTGTGGGGCAACAGAAGATGGAGCTGGTTCCCTTCTGGACCTCACATCCACTACTCCTATTGCAGCAGTATGAGTACTTCAGATTAACTAAATGGCAGAAGCAGCCCTTCCTATAATTTTTGTTTGTCCAATTGAAACAGAAATCTGATCCTCCATGTTCACATCAACTTCTGTGTTTATTCTGCTTTTTGCTGATATTAATCAAATTTGAGAAAATTATATGCCTGGAAAAACACATCTGTTTGCACATGTTCAGCAAGAATTCTTTGACTGCTAAATTTCCAGAGCCCTTTCTTTGCCTGTGCACAGCTGGGACACCATGAGACTTGGAGCTTCCTTGTTTTTATGGAGATAAAACTGGGGCTTCCCGGCAGCGTAGGTTACAGTTTCTATTAGGTTATTAGTTACTCTCACAGGATACAGATCAGAGGTCTGTGTCCTAGAATTAGAGCTTCCAGCTCTGATGCTCATAAAAATGTAGGAGCTGGCATAGAACATTACTAAGATCACAAAGGTGAGTGGAAAAGCTGAAGCTAGGAAGTACTGAAGTACTAGTGTAGATTTAGATTCTCAGCAGCACTTCACCCCCCTTCTCTCTTCCCGTACATTTCTATTTAGTTGAGAAACATTTTTTTGTTGTTGTTGGAGAATGACAACTCATCCTCACTGGTGTCTATTGCCATCTTGTCTGTCCCTTTGAAAACTGCAGTGGGACTCAACAGATCTGTAGGCGAAGCAGATGGTTGGTGGGAAGCAGGGAGGGTGAGAGACACAGAGTTCTCTAACTTGCTGGAAATAGTATTGGATTGTATCCTATTCTGGCAGCACAGCTGGAGGCAAAAGAGAATGTGTATCCATGTCTTTCTGCCAATCTTTTCTATAACTGGAAGGCAAGCAGGATTGCTTCTGACTGTTGCATGGACCATCAGCTTATGAAACATGATGGGGAATATGCAGCAGAAAGCATGGTGAAAAGATGGCTGGTAAGAGGGAATGATTTTTCTCTTCGCTCCTTTTTTTTTTGGCTCTTTCAGGACTCTTGTCCTCATGGAAGATTGCTAGCTCAAAAGCTTCCAATTTCTTAAAAAATGTTTGGCATATTCATCTTCCTATTTGGATCACTTCCTTCCTTCCTTCCCTAGAAGTAGCAGGAAATACCGCATGCCTCAAATTCAGGAGGAAGGTCTGTACATTCATGTGATTTCCCAAACACATCACCCTCGTACACAAATCTTAAATGTCTGGTATCAATTGTCCCTTTCATAGCAGGATTGAATCCTGACACAGTGGATGGCTGCCATCTGTTAAAGTCACTTCTGCTGATTTATGGGCTAAAAAGGATCAAGAGGCTTTTCATCATGTCTTTTGGAAAATCTTATGTCCCTAGAAAACCAACATAGTTCTCCCTGTACTTTATGGTGCCAACAATTATTCTTTGTTTGGTTTCTAGGTATGAAACTGTTGTAAACCTTGTGGTTTTGGGGGTAATTGCCTGTCTAGAATACATGGAGTTTGTTGTGCTATGGGGGAGGTTCAGCAGTTATCCTCAAGCACGGAATAAATGAAGCAGGGTGAGCCACTGTGCCCACATTTTTGTACAGTGCTCCAGCCTTTCCTCATGCTTTGAGTGTTCTTGTGATCTGTGAAATGGAGCTGTGCTTGCCATGAAATTGTTATATAGATGTCAGAAGTTTTGTAGGTTGGAGTGGCTCTTGCTGCAGGAGCGCTTCGCTGCCAGGCCTCACATCAAGGTACCCATGAAGTGCCATAACGAGTTCCTTTGTATTCTTGCATGCAAAGTTCCTCCTGCTTGGTTTTGATAAAGCTGCTGATAGATAAATAAAGGGCTTTTGGAGGCATTTTTATGTGAATCCTCTCAGCTCTCCTCTTCTGAGAGCTCTCCAAACAAACTTTTTCAGAGTTTGTATTCTGAACTGAACTATAAATGGTTGGATCTGGAACAGTCTCACCCAGAGTAATTCTGTTTTCATTAATTGGCTGTGAATCAAGAATGTTTCACAGCTGAAACATACCCGAAGATTCAAATTCGATATTCATAATCATTACACTCTTTGTATTTGTCATGAACAATTTTTGGTTTGTTTTTCTGTAGTGGTCCTAAAAGCAGTTTCTTGAGATCAGATGCCAGTGGAAAGCTTGTTGCAAATCACTTAGGTTTTTTTCTACACAAGATCCTTCCAATTGGAATAAAATTTCCCGATTTTAGTAAATTTCTCTTTGAGGTATGCCCGAATTATGACATTACAGACACAGCTAATCTGTGTTGCTGTTTTTTTTTGTGGGAGGCATCTCATACATTTAACTGTGGGTGTATAGCTTGGTAGAGTGGCTTTGACAGCCTTTTATTTAGATTCAGAATATCAGGACAACAAAAATGAAGGGAAACTTCAGCATATGTCAAGATTTTTAACTTTCTTTGGCTGCTCTGGTATAACTTACTCTACTTGCAATGCACTAACAGAGATGTGGTTTAATTTAAAGTTCCGTGTCCTGTTACCAATAAGAAAATATCTGCTCCTGTATTACTGTTTCTATAACCTGTGATTATCAAGAACAGGAAGTAATAGAAAAATTCTCCAGAAACATTTCTGCCCTGCTCCCTTCTCTCTGTGTTCCTGGGTAATGCCAAGCTGCAGTGGCTTGTACAGTGTGAGGAAGGAGGGGAAAAAGAAAAAAACACTTTTCCCAACAGCAGTTTTTGTGATGGCTGCAAAAATATCCCCTATTAGGTTTTTATACATTAAACATCGATAGAAATTGTTTCATGAGCTCATTCATAATACACCTTGAAATCTATGCTTCTTTGGTGCAAGATTGAGAAGGTGTTTTTCACTCATTAAACTGTCACTTAATGTCACTCATAAGAGGTCTTGTTAGAACAATATAACGAATAATGGATGCCAGTAAAATCTAAATCCCTGCTTTATGCTAACATAAATCTCTAACTTTGCCCTCAAAATAATGAACTGATTTCAAATGTTCTGTTGTGTTCTTTACCTCCTTTTCTCTTTTTCATTGTTCCTTTCTCATTAAAATAAGCTGTTCTGAGGAGGCAGCACAGTTATTCCAGGACAGTTTTTAGGAATTGTCTTTCTCTTTAATGATGTGTTCAGGCAGATCATTATTGACTTAATCTTAGAGTTTATTTTAAACTCTTGATTTCCTCAAGGCTTATCTTGCAGTGTTGTTTCTTTTTTGTTAACTGACAAGAGTCAGCAAGAGCTGGTTGCACAGGACCATGTGATTGATCACTACTATGAGCATTTGTGGCCTGTATAACAGGTTTTTCCTTTACCTTCAGTCTGCCAGGAAAAGAATAGAAAAGGAATAAACAATAAGTAATACAGTACTTAATTTTGGAGAAGGTGGATTGAAAAGATAAAGCTTGTGCAGTCAATCTAAGCAGGGTTAGATTGCTATCTTACTGGTCTTCACAAACAAAAATTCCTTATACTGTTTGTACCCAAAACAGACAGAGGTGTGAATACTTTAAGTAAAATATTGTAGGAAAAGTTGATAGGCTTATTCTTGTAGAGTTAAATTAATAAGGCTTCGATAAAAAAGGTGATAAAACAAAAGCTCACTCAGACCACCCAAGGCAGGAGGGAGATTTCAGTACAATCTTTGAAAAGCCAAAAGTCTCCCTTTCTCTCACTCTAATTGGCCTTTCTTTCGAGCGAAAACTTCAATGTAAAGGGTTGAAAATGCTTGTGACAGAGTCAAATAGATAATTTTCTGAACTGGCTAAACTTGGAGTGAAAACATGCCACTATACTGATGGGGTTTTAAGGAAATTATATGCTTGGAAAAACACATCTGTTTGCACAAGTTCAGCAAGAATTTCTTTGCCTGCTAAATTTCCAGAATCCTTTCTTTGCCTGCTAAATTTCCAGAATCCTTTCTTTGCCTGTGCACAGCTGGGACACCATGAGACTTGGAGCTTCCTTGTTTTTATGGAGATAAGACTGAGGCTTCCCAGCAGTGTAGGTTCCTGTTTATATTAGGTTATTAGTTACTCCCACAGACAGTGCAGTCACTCTTGGGCTGTAGAAAGACACCTGAAGTTGGCATTTGGGGATGAGTGAGTGTAGAGTCAGCAAACATCAGCTTGAAGCTTTCAAGATACTGCTTGCTAGCAGTTAGTGGTGCATACTTCCTGACCTTGCTATGTTATGACAATGATTTTAGTGTTTCAAGTTCAACTCAAGCCTGTTTCACTGTGGAGTATTACATTGAACTTGAAAGTTTTGAAGCACCACCTTGTTAATTGATTTTTGTGGGGTTTTATTTTCAGGTCTCAGCATGGTTTTTCACAACCTTTACAGTCTCAGGGCTAAAGGACAAAATCCACTATGTGGAAAGCCTTCAGCAATTGTTCACAGCCATACCCCCAGAACAGATTGATCTTCCCCCTTTTGTCCTCGAGTACGACGCCAGGGTAAGTGACTGCCTGTAGCCCCTGTAGCCACCATGAGTCTCTACCCTGAGAGCAATTCTTGTGCTGCTCTCATTCTGCTCTGCAAGTGCTTTAAGGGGACTGACTTCCACATCTTAAGAATGGGGAGAAGGAAGAGGGGAAGTTCCTGGGAAGTCTGTGTTGTTCTGTGAGTAATGATTCTCTGAATTTTTTGTCCACATCAGCCCAAGCAGAGGCATCCTACCCTTCTTCAGGCAAGAACTGTAACATAACACACTAACAGCCTGTGGACAAGATAAAATTTGTGTTAGCTGCTGTACACCTTATACTGACAGGAAAAAATAAATAGTAGCTGTGTTTCATCTTCCTTGGCCCACATACTAACAAGCATGCAGGAAAAAGGAGGGAAAAAAAAACCCAAAAAAACAAAAAAAAAAAAACAGCAGGGAAGAATGGAACAGTAGAAAAGTGCCCTGCCTTTGTATAGGACCCTCTTCTTCCCTTTTGCACCTCAGGTCTCTAACCAAATGGTGGCATGAATATGGCTTGCATTGGCAAAATCCTTCCAAAGACTATGTGATGTAACTCCAAAGTAGCAGCCAGAGCTGTGTGTCTGCATTAGTAGCTTTGTCTGAGTCACTGGCTGTGCCAACATCCCTGGCTTCCTGGTGTCACTGCTTTGGCTCAATGGCAAAAGTTTAACTTGCATTTTCTGCTTATGCTTAAAACACAGGCAAAACCAAGGCCTGTGTTTGCTTGTTTCCCAGCACAGTCCTCTCCTGGGTGAGTTGTGGCACTCACTGTACCCATGGAAAACAAAACCTAATACCTAATTATTTCTGCCTCTGCGGCACTGTCACTGTACCAAGGTGTATTGGAGGAGACTTCAGTTCAACTGCTTATTCTGTTCTCATTGCAGGAAAATGGGCCTTACTATTCTTCTTATCCTCCATCCCCTGACTTGTGATCTGCAGTCCTGTGATGCTGCCAGTTTCCCATGGATCCAATGACCTGATGCCTGCCAAAACCTGTGCATTTACCCATGTACAGAATTCAGAGAGAGGGTTTTCCTCCCCCAGCTCTGGTATTTTTTTACTGATGAGATATTTTCAAGCACTCAAGCAATCAGAGAACTTTATGCCACTGTGAACTGTACAACTATTTCAAATATATTTATCCAATGGAAAAGCTGATTTAAAGATCACTAGCTGCATTTGTTTGTTTGTTTTGTTGTTATTGCTGCTGTTATTGTTGTTTTTTGAAGCTGTTACATTATTCTTCTGAAGAGACTTTATCTTTTCTGGGAAATCCATCAGAAGCACTTGATCATATTTTTAGCTATTACTATTTTCCAGCTCTGTTTGTAATTCCCATTTCTGACTGGTCTGTACAAGTATTGTGTAGTACCAGCCTGACACATCACTCATCATGTGGTCTGTGTTTCACATCTGATTACTTTCCCTTGCTGTTAGTACTGATTACTTTAGTCTTGACCCAGCAAAACTATCTGGAATTGGGAATGCCATGTCTGCAGGCTGACAGAGCACTACAGCCAAGCCAACATTACTCCAGGATTTAGTCCCATAAACTGCTAGAAGCCTTGAAAAAGTCCCTGTCAGTTTTCATTGGATGATGTGAAGGACCATGTCAGGATGCCACTACTGTCCCAGTAAGAATAAAACTGAAAAGCATTTGTGGTTTCTTTTGTCTAACTGCACGCATTTATGTTCTCCTTTGCCAAGGCCAGGTGTGTTTGCATAAGTGGATGCCATCTACCTAAGCTGTGTATGGAGGGGAGGGGGAAATGATGGCTCCAACCCCAGCCTCTGGTGGCAGAGATCGTTTCTTGGAGATATCAGTGTCCCTCTGATTTCTTGTTACACTGACACTCATTGATTTTTGACAGAAATTATATATGCAAGAGAGCTTAGCCACAGGTTACTTGAGGAACTGGAGGTGAGAAGTGTTTCAGGGCTTCCCATGGGAAGCTAAAAGAGAAGGGAAAAAGCTCCCTTGTAAAACATAATCAGGGATGCCAGACCCAAGCGCAGAAGAATTAAATCCTTGGTAGGAAGAATGTCACAACACTACTGAATATGGAAATGATGGTATGGTTTTCGTTATTTAATTCTAGCTGCTTTCCTGCCCCAACTTGTATCTCCTACTCTCTCTTTACCAAAATTCAGTTTTCCTTGTTTTCCACTTCTGCAATAACTACCTTATTTAAGCATTAGCAGAAGTCTTTGTGGCATAGCCTAGAAGGTGGTTATTCATGCCTGTTGAGCTGGTTGGAAATTATACCCCTCTCTTGTTTAAAGATACTGTAAACTGGTGGGATAAGCAGGGAAAAAATTCACTCTTGGTCATCTAATTGCATGTCATGATTTCTGTTTGCAGTCAGAGTTTGGAGTGCAGTGTAAGACTGGCCATACTAAGTTGCCTTTCTTTCCTACCTTCACCTCCTGGCTTAGTATCATGTTTATCCTGCATGTATCCTCAGCTTATCAGTCACAGATTACAGTAATCATTTGCCTGGGCTGTAACTGTCATTTATATATAACATATAAAAAGCAAGTGGGTTTGCTTTCCAAGTGATCCTCAGGGTCCCTAAGTGATTCCATAATCACATCCAAGGTGCTGCTAAAACCTGGAATATAATAAAACTTCCATTATGCTCCAGCATAATGGAAAACTCCCTTAGTGCTGATACTGGGAGCACTGCACCTTATGGTCTGTTCACATGTGATTGATTCAGCACTTTTCTGGTGGCTTTTGAGAAGGAAACAGCAGCAGTTTGTGCAGAGCAGCTACCACATGTCCCTCCTGCCTCTTTTCACCTGGCTGTTTACAGCTGCCCTTGCCTAGTGACTTTTATAGCCAGCACTGAATTTTCCATGCTTCTCTAACGATTTGTGCAGCTTTCCACCCCCGTTAACCATCTGCTGTTTTTCACACCCATGGCATTTCCAGTGGGGCTGTTGCAGAACTGCCTGCGTGCACTTAAATGGGCAGATTAAAGGTGATTCAGAGCTTATTGTGGAAACCAAACTCTCAGCTTGACAGTTTTTAGATGGTTTCTGTCCCTTTAGCTCACAGATGGCTCAGAGTCATAAAACTAAACAGTTCTTGTTAGGACTCAGTCTGCACGTTTTCCAAACGTGCAGTCATTTTCAGAAATTATTTGGCTCAGTGAAGTGTGAATGTGCCTCCAGAGCACTTGCAGAGCAGAAAGGAGATTTTGGCACCGTGCATCTTATTGTGTATATTTTTCCCTTGAAAGACTTTACTTTAAATCTTTTTTTTTTTACCCAAGTCTTGCAAATCTTAGTGGCAAGACAGACCCTGGATTGTGCTGCAAAGATCCGACATTTTCCAGTGAATCTGGAGTTGTGACAATTTACCAGTTTTATGTTTTTAATGGAGATATTTGAAAAAGTAATGTGACAGTGAAGAAACCCTAATCATTGAAATGCTCAGGATATTCACTGCTATTAAAATGTTTCATTGCTCAATTCTAAGATGCAAAAAACTGCGTTAAACCAGCTGAGCTGCATTTGTTTCAGGCAGTGACAAATGCTGTCCTGCCCTAGTTAAAGGTGGACACAATGCTGTCCTCTGAAAGGTGGCCAGGGAAGGCAGTCTGTGTATGTCATAACTGCATTTTATTATCCCTACCCACTGCAGCATTAAAAGTCCTGATGAAGGGTTTATTGTCTTGCTTAATGCCATCTTACACCATCTGCAGGCTCAAAAAGGGGAGTCTCCTTAGGGAAGTGTATTAGTGTAATTAAGAGGGTCATTATTCACCTCAGTATGGCCCAGGGTGTTAGAGTGGTAGAGTAGCAGCACTGTTGTCAGTAAAACTGAGCTGTGGTGCTCAGGTGTTCCTTGGCCACCCTGTTCTGACAGATCCTGTGTTCTCTCAGTGCCACTGCCATTAGACGTCTTGAGTCTGACCATTTACAGGTGACTCAGTGGCTGGGCTTACCTGTTCTCATTTGCCCAGGCTGAGTTTGTAGCAATTGCCAAGGCAGTGACAGATAAATTACCTGGTGGCTGCTGCTCTTGGTGAGTGTTGTGTTGATTTCTCAGCTGGGTGCTGTTGGGAAGTGGCAAGAAGTTGTGGGTAAAGTCAGAATGTCTGCAGGCCTTTGAGCCAGGGTGATTTTACAGAGTCACAGAATGGTTTGGGTTTTGGAAGGGACCTAAAAGGTCATCTAGCTCCATCTCCCCTGCCATGGGCAAGGACACCTTTTACTAGACCATGTTGTTCAAAGCCCCATCCAACCTGGCCTTGAGCAGTTCCAGGGATGGGGCATCCACAGATTCTCTGGACAACCTGTTCTTGTGCCTTGTTTGCCATGTACACTGTTCTTTTTTCCTGTACTCTCTTGCTCACAAAAGCTGAGGATGAAAACAGAGCTGCTGAATTTTGTGGACATCTCTTCCCCAGTGGTCGCCTGAACCCCTTTTTCCTACTGCAGATGCCTCTGTTGCCTCAGCTTTGTGGTGAAAGAAGCCTTCTCCCCACTCTGTCCCTGAGCCCTCCTGTGGCTGCAGTGCTGCTCAGGATTAGCATCCTGCTGCTGAGAACAGACACTCCATGTGAAATCAATTTAGATGGTTCTGCTATTCAGCAAGCTGATACCAGCCCTTCTCCCTGTCAAACTGAAAAACAAGAGCAAAAGGAGTTATCCCCTTTCCTTGGCCTCTCTGGGATGAATCTCCTGTTACATTTGTGACCAAGCAACCAGCTAGTCCTGGTCTGAAACTTGTTTGCACCTGTAAGTATAATACAGGAATTCCTGACTATGTTGATTCTGACTAAATAGGAACTGATCCAAGTGACTTCTGTTAGCAAGTGCAGTCTTGGGAGAGTAAGGGAATTGTTTCAGCTGTATTTGGGGAAGAGAGAAAAAAGAAAACTACCTGGAACAATTCAATTTGTCATCCTCCAGTGCCAGGGAGGACTAACAGCAATATATAGCCAGTACTCCTATGGCAACTGGCCTACTGGATTATCTTCAGTCTCCACAGGAAAGTAATAATCCCCAAATGAGAGGGATGACAAACTGAGTACAGAGACTTAGCAATGTGCGATGTCCAGTCTCTGTGCTAGGCCAAGGTGAGGATGTGGGTGAGCAGCTAATGCAGCCCTGAGCCATTCTGAACATACTGGAGCAGGTAGAGGCAAGCAAACCTGCTGCAAGGTGCTGTTTCCTTCCAATGAGAGAAAGATGTTTCATGCCTCAGTATTGTAATACAGAGCCTTCTTTGCTCATATGCTTAAAATTAAAGCAGTGTGTGAGGTGGTGTGGAGGATGTTCCTCTCTGGTTCCAGAGCTGATACAGCTCCATCCTTCAGGAGAAGGGGGGAGAGTGCTGTGTAAAGGTTAAGGACTGCAGGGATTAAAATGCTGCAGCCCTGAGCCCTCTGCAACATGGCCTCTGCCTCTTTGAGTACCAGGTGGATTTCTGATAAGCAGTCTACTGCTTGATTCTGCAATCCCCCTGAAATATTTTAAATGGCAAAACCATTCTCAATATGTATAACTGAAAAGATGCCAAGATTCCAAATGCAATTTAGACATAGCTATGGAGGAGGTGGCTTTGCTTGGAAGGACATTATGTACAGAAATGAGGGGAAGGGGATTGTATCAGATGATCCACAGCAGCTTGTCTGCCAGCGCAGCATCTGTTTTTAATCGGTCAATCAGATCCTGTTTGAAACCTTTCTCAGCTGTGCTTCCCTTGAAAACCAGATTCCTCATCCAGATGTGGCAAGACTGCTTGCCATTACAGTGTGGTTAGCACAAGAGCAGCAAAACTCAAAATGTTACTGTGTGTGCTCAATACTTTCACCGAGCTGTTATGAGAAGTCCTTGTTCCAGGGAAGATGTAGGTACCAGAGCCTCTTCTCCTTCATTCCTCCCATCTACCACAGTTTATTCCTCGCCTATTTTTCAAGGGGGTAGAGAGGAAAGTTGTTAAATTCCTACCCTTGTTCTGTGGAAGATGCCAAAAACAGTTCAGTGTCCTCTAATACTGATGCTTCAGAGTGGAACTGATTTTGGGAGCAGGATCTGGCTTTGTATCCAGGTAGCCAGTAATGGCAGGAGTACCCTGAGCCAGGTCCTGCAGAAATGCTCAGGATAGACTGGTCCTGGACTAGAACCAGTTCTGCACTGTGCCAGTCAGTGTGACCCTGACACATCTCTGCCTGGTACCTGCCGCTCATTTGCTGCCTGCACATGTGATTTTCAGATCCATCCACTAAGGAAGCTGTGGGCAAATGTGGTGGGCTTAATCTCAGTCCATTGGGAAGGTCCTGTAACTTACTAGGAACTGACATGAATGGTAAACAGAAGAAAGGCTCAGCTTGATGATTTGTTCTTGTTGCATGTTGTTATTTTTCAGAAAGCAAAAGCAATTTTTAAGTAGTTGATAAGAAAAATAATTTAATTGTTAACGTTTTAATGAAGCTCTAGAGTGGTGTACTCAGCACCTCTGCTGGGACCAACAGTGTGGCCTGTCACAGAGCAATAAGGGTCTTGTGTTGTCCATCTTTTCCCAAAAATCTCCTGCATACCTGGTACTTTCAGGAAAGAGGATTTTGGGTATGACTAAGGAATGCTTTGGGTGAGAGGGTCTTCATGATTGCCACAAACCTGAGCTGCTGTCCAAGCTGCTG